TTCTGATTGGCTGTAGCCTTTGACTGGTTAATAAAACTTTAATACCATTGTAAAAAAAAAGAGGTTATTTTCCCCATTTTCCCTATTTTTCCTAATTTTTAAATTCTGAAAATGCCTTAGAAATCCCTAGTAGACCCTTAGAGACCATCCGACCCAAATACACCATAGTCTACCTTTTTCTGTGGTCCATAGTCCCTCAGACGATGGTTCCAACCTTCTAGAATATCCCAAAGAATCTCCAAGATAATCCTAGGAAACCATCTTCAAATCCAGAAAGCTATCTTAAACACTAGAAAATAGGAAAAAACGACTTAGATAGAAACTTTTGGAATAAGTATGATCAAGAAAATACGAAATTTGGATTAAAATCAAGAAGATCTGTGAAATCCCGAAAAATTAGATAACTTTAGCTTAAACGCCGCATTTGGCAGCGTTTAGGCCAAAAGTTTGCAAACGCCGCATTATGTGGCGTCTAGGTCTCTTGATCAGATAAGCTCAAATTTTCTGTAGAATTCCATTGGGAATTATTCCCAATCAACTTAGAACCGACTTACTTGAGAGACCAGTTCTTAATGGACGATTGGCAAAGTAGCAAATGCTATTGAGTGAGTTCTACATTGAGTATATTACTCAGAACTCAATTAAACGATAAGCCATAGCTGATCACTTAATCGAAAATGCATTGACTGATAACATTCATGTTAACAAAGATATCTCAGATGATGATCTCTTCACAATTGAAGGTCCAACTTGGGAGCTATACTTTGACAGTGCACGAAATGAGTATGGAGCAGGTGTAGGAATCATACTATGCTTACCTGAAAGAATCATGATGCCGACAGCTATAAGGCTAGACTTTCCATGTACCAACAACATCGTTGAATACTAGGCCTTGATAGCTGGACTGGAGAATGCCATTGCGATGGGAATTCAACAATTGCGAGTGTTCGATGACTCCATCCTTATTATCAACCAAGTCCAAGGGAAATGGAAAGTCAAGGATGAAAAATGACGACCTTACCAAACAGATAACTTTCCAACATGTTACTAGGGAAAACAATGGGTTCGCCAACACCTTATCCTCCCTCGCGTCAATGGTGGATATCCCTCAAGAAGTTACTCTATAGTTGTTTTACATCAGACATAAGCACAACCCTTCTACACCAAAAATAGAGAAAAAAAAAAAAAGAACAAGATGAAGGTGAGGTGGTTGAAGTGGGTTTGAATGCACTGATAGAGGAAAATCCATGGTTCCATGACACACTATGCCTATTAAAAGATGGAACGTATCCTGAAGGGGCCACCAAGAAAGGTAAAGAGTATCTCCAAAGATTTTCTATGAACTTCCTGATCAGAGACGACGTCCTCTACAAAAGGTCATTTGACGACATCATTCTTAGATGTATTGACCAACCAGAGATAGATAAAGTTTTGACCGAGTTTCACAATGAAGGAGGACACATTGGAGCAGCCGCCTTGGCGCAAAAGATCAGACGTCAATGTTACTATTGGACTACTATGGTTGAGGACTATTGGAAATTTGTTAAGAGGTGTCCCAAATGCCAACTCTATGGGGACCTCATACATGCGCCATCCATGCCACTTAACTCAACACTACCCGTGTGGCCTTTTGCTATATGAGGTCTTGATATCATTGGAATGATTACTCCAAAAGCTGCAAATGGGCATCTGTTACATATTGACAACAATAGAGTACTTCACAAAATGAGTAGAAACTGCATCATTTGCCAAGATCAAGGGTCAGCGTATGGTTCGTTTCGTAAAGAACAACATCATATTCAGATTTGGAGTCCCAGAGTCAATCACTATTGATAATGGGACCAACTTTAAAATGAAAAGGTGTCAAAGTTATGCAAGAAATTTGGGATAAATAAAAAATTTCCACACCTTACTACCACCAATTGAATGGTCAAGCTGAAGCTACAAATAAAGGACTCTTGAAGATCTTTGATAGAATAGTTGAAAGTGGCAAGGATTGGCATAAGAACCAATGTTGGGCAACTGTAGACACCCCATTTTGAATTTGGCTATTTTTCCTATTTTTTAAATCCCTAAAATAACTAATAGACCCTTAGGGACCATCCGAACCAAATACACCATAGTCTCCTTTTTTTTATGGTCCATAGTCCCACAAACCATGGTTCCAACCTTCTAGAATATCTCACAGAATCTCTAAGATAATCTTAAAACCCTAGGAAACCATCTTCAAATCTAGAAAGTTATCCTAAACACTAGAAAATAGGAAAAATCGATTTAGATAGAAGCTTTTACGATAAGTATGATCAAGAAAATACGAAATTTCGATCAAAATCAAGAAGATCTGTGAAATCCCGAAAAATTAGGCAACTTTATCTGAAATGCCACATTTGGCGGTGTTTAGGCCAAAAGACTACAAACGTCGTGTTATATGGCCTCTTGACTCTATAAGCTCAAATTTTCTGTAGAAATCCATTGGGTATCATTCTCAATCAACTTAGAACCGACTTTTGAAGGCTATATAATAGTTCTATTCGGGTCATTCAAAAAGAGGGCTATAACCTTAGATTTAGAGACCTGGTTCCTAGAGAAAACCTAGAATCAAGAAGCCTAACCCTCAAAATACCTAAACCTCAGTCTTCTAAACCAAATTCCAAAGAAAAAGCCCTAGCCTAGATCCTCTTAATCTTAGCCTAGAGCTTTAGCCTTCAAACATTAGATCCTAGAAGCCATGATCCTAGATCTAAGCTACAAAAACCCTATATTTAATTTTATTCTCTCTCAACCATCCATAGCCAACATTTCCAGCAGATCTCAGAGGGGAAAATCAACCAATTTCAAAGAGAAAATATGAAGGCAAGGAAAAGATGCGTAAATAACCCGTGGTCCTGATATGGGCGGCACCACCAACTTTGGCCTGATATGGGCGGCACCACCAACTTTGGGCATTCAGGGCCAACTGGTCCGAGGAAGTAAACTTTCCTTTCCTTCTCTTCTTTAATTTTAGTTACTTGGATTATTTTAAATAGACTTAATTTTGCAGTAGATTTCATTTATTTTGATGAAAAGATCTTGGTGGCACTGCCAACGATTTGAAGAGACATTGGCGTCTGGAGGTTAATTAGTCTCTAAATCATAATTCAATTGTCCTCACTTCTCCATCAAAATTTTAATTAACTAGTTTTATAGCAATAGATCAGGGGATCTTAGATTTTAGATCTTCTCGATTTCACGCTGTAAACATTCATATATCAAAAAAATAAATTGCTGCAATTAAACAATGAGTTTCACATAAGAAATGAAAATTCGTTTAATGCAAAGATGATGATATAACATTCACTCTTCTTCATGAAAATGTTGCATAGGTTCTAGCATGACGACTAATACAATTTATTAGGTATATGTTATCATCTATGAGCATAACTTCATTGCACATATAGAAGTACAACCGATAACCAATTAAAATGATTTAGTTCCTACATTAATTCTAAGCAAAAGTAATACCAAAAAACTCCAATATCAAATGGACAACCAAATGTATGCTCATCTAGGTTCTCTCTCAAAGTAGTCAAGGCTACTAGATACATCTTTTTTGTTTCTTCCATGGCATGTAGCTGGGCTTCAACTATGGGTTCCTAGAAAAAAAAAAGAAAAAAAAAAAAATCTACAATATATAATATCAAAAGAAAATAAAAAATAGAATTCAAACGAAAATAGAAAATAGAATTCAACATACCAATGTAGAGGAAAAACATATGATTGCCTTGCATAACTTCATTTAACATATAGAAGTATAACCGATAAACAATTAATATATTAGTACTATCAAAGAATTCTAATAACCAATGAGCAGCTAAATGAAGACTCATCTAGGTTCTCTCTTAAAGTAACCAAGGCAGCTAGATTCATCTTTTTTGCTTCTTTCATGGCTTGTAGATGGGCTTCATCTATGGGTTCCTGGAAAAGAAAAACTATAAAGAGAAAAGAAAAGAAGAAAAAACAAAAATCCAAATAATATACAATATCAAAAGAAAATAGAATCAACATACCTGTGTAGAAGAAAAAAATATGATTGCCTTGGAGAGTATTATCATAGTCACATATGTTGTGTGTGAAGCACATGTTAAAAGTAGAGAGAAAGAGAGAGAGAGAGAATCGTGGCATGCATGAGAGAGGGGAAGAAGAGCGAGCGAGAGCTGTGGCGTGCATGTGTGTGTGGCGCGCATGTGTCAGTGACTGCAGCGTTCGCTAGTGATTAAGATTAAATCAAATTATATTTCCTGTAACCGCATATACTATCCTCCCTAAGGAGGAAACTGTGCATTGTCTCCCTGACTCAAAACACACTCATCTCCTCCCTCACTCAAAACACCTACTTAGGAGAATCTTTTTAGTCTAAACTTTTGAGAAACACATAATAATTACATGTACATTATTTTTTAAAAGAAAAAATATGCCTTTTTAAAAAAAAAAAAAGAGATTAAATTTTAAGTTTAGTGACACTTAAATACCCTTCAAAAAATTGGACGGCCTCTATTCAATCTTTGGGCATAAGTTTTTTCTAGTACGTATAGGGTTTATTTTATTTCATTTTTTTTTTTGCCGAGATTTTTATATGGGTTGTAAATATTAAATCCCCGAAATTTAAAATCTAAAAGGGAAACCAATGTGTAATGTCCTCCTTAGGGAGGAAGAAATCTTTTAGCTTTCCCACAATTTAAGTTTATGTTTTTAAACGGTGTCATTTCCTTGGGGCGAATTTCAGGCAGGTGAATTATGGGAGAGGAAGGAAATCTCACATGAATATGAGAGAAACCCTTCCATTATTTGTTAGGGAAGGGCGCAATTAGGCATTAAGAAAAAAAAGGAAAAAAATAGGGTATAGTTTGTATAGAGCCGAGGCTCTAAACAATCTAACTAAAGCACATCTTCGGTTAATAAATGTGGTTTCAATATTAAAAATCTTTATGATAGCCTTAAAATATAAGGAGCTAAAATACAGCCCTTCCAATGTTCCTGATTTCAAACATGGAAGTGAGACAATCCACTCCCACCTCCAAAATCTAGTGTGTTATCAAACAGGCCCTTGTAGTCTACGGTCGTATGATGACTCATAGAAACGTGTTATGGAAGGAAAGACGACTCAAGTTCCTGGGGTCTTCTCTTTTCACAGATATTGTCTTTGCCCGCCAAAAAATCCACGGGCTCGCATCAAATTCGATACTACCTGGTGTAGCTTTTTACCGCTTTCTTTTTGCCCAAAATAAAAACCAACTTTTAGTTTGGCATTGCACGTTCATGATCAGGTGGGAGAGATGACAGGAGTTTGTATTGACCGGAGATGCGGCTTCTGCAAATCGAATGGAGTGTTCTACAGCAAGAGGAAATCCATCCCCCTCCCTTCTGATGAGTTCTTGGATGCCTTCACCTTCATTTCGTCACAGCCTCACAAGGGCAACATAGCCTTCATCGAAGCTGCCACCGGCCGCACCCTCGCCTACATCGACCTCTGGCGATCCGTGAATTCAGTTGCCGCCGGCCTCTCTGAGCTCGGTGTCCGACAAGGTGATGTTATCCTCCTGCTCTCACCAAACTCCATCCAATTTCCCATAATATGCTTGGCTGTCATGTCCATCGGTGCTATCATCACCACCACCAACCCCCTCAACACCCCCGGCGAAATCCACAAACAAGCTGCCGACTCCAATGCCACCCTCGCTTTTACGATCCCTGCGCTCATCCCCAAACTCAGCCTCACCAACCTCCCAATTGTACTAATCGGAAGCGACACTGAGCCTCGCTCCTGCATCACTACATTAGACCGTTTGATGCGGACCAACCCAGAGAGGCGACCATTGGTACGCATCAAGCAGGACGACACGGCCACCCTGCTCTTCTCTTCGGGCACCACCGGTGTGAGCAAGGGTGTGGCCTCGTCCCACCGCAATGTAATAGCCATGGTCTCGGTGTTGCAAAAGAGGTACTCACCAGGGGAGCGTCTCACCTTTCTGTGCACCGTACCCATGTTCCACATCTACGGCCTCTGCTGCTTTGCCACCGGCCTTTTAGCAGCAGGCACCACCACTGTGGTCATCTCAAAATTCGAACTAAGTGAGATGTTACAGGCGGTTGAGACATACAGAGTGACTCATTTGCCAATCGTGCCCCCCATACTCGTAGCTTTGGGTGGAAGCGAAGTGTCACAAAGGTTTAATTTGGGATCACTGAAGAATGTTGTGTGCGGTGGGGCGCCGGTGAGTAGGGAGGTGACGGAGGCATTTCTGAGAAGGTTCCCGGGAGTGGTGCTCACGCAGGGGTATGGGATGACCGAGACTGCAGGCATTGGGGCGTCGACCGAGACACCGGAGGAGGGAAAGCGATACGGTTCTGCTGGGCTATTGATTCCAGACATGGAGGCCAAGATTGTGGACCCAGAAACCGGTGAGTCGATGCCGCCTAATCGTCGAGGGGAGCTATGGCTCAGAGGGCCTTCTGTCATGAAAGGTATGTCCATTAGAATCTCACAAACACTAACAAATGCATGCTGAAAGCCTGAAACCAAAAGAAATAGGGAGAGAGGGGTTGTGTATATGATCTGTTGAGGTACCCAATTGTTAAATTTTATTTTGTTCTCACTTTACAGGTTATTTCAGTAATGCAGAGGCGACTGCTGGGACCTTGAATTCCGAGGGATGGCTGAGAACAGGGGATTTATGCTACTTTGATGAGGATGGTTTCCTTTTTGTGGTGGATAGGTTGAAGGAGCTCATCAAATACAAAGGTTATCAGGTTGCACCTGCAGAGCTCGAGGCTCTGCTTCTTACCCATCCAAATGTAGAAGATGCTGCAGTCGTGCCGTGAGTCTTCTATCCATACTATAGCAAGTAGCATATTTTCCCAGGAAAAAGTTATATTGAGTTGACGCTCTAAAAAATAAAATTAGAGTCAACCTTACAACTTTCATTAGAAAAGGTTGTTTTGATGTCTAAATATCTTCAAATTGATCATCTTGACATCAATATGAGAAAAAAAATGGATTACAAAATTTGAAAATAGTACATCTTGTAATGTATTTTTTAACCGTCAATTTTTAAGATTTACGAGTTCTCGTAGATGTGCGCAAACTGCACTATTTTTTATGCGTTAAATTTTATAATTAAAGATAAAAATATATTTTAAGGCTATCACAAAAAAATATATTTTAAGGCTATCACAAAGATTTTAGATATTCAAACCACATTTCTTGATACTATATGAAGGTGTGCTTTTACTTTGATTGTTTAGAGCCTCGGCTCTATATAAACTGCACCTTTTTAATAAAGAAAAATTGTTTCATGGAGGACACATTTCTACAATTAGGATCCCAAGAGATACAAAGCATCCATTTTAAAGATGGATGCAAATAGACGGTCCACCAAAAAACAAGTGAAACTAAATGAATTTCTTTATAAAACTATTACTTTTATTTTTAAAAATTTATTTATTTTTACATGTTCATGATCTCCATGTTAGAGATTATATATCTTTAAAAATTGATTCCAAAAATCCCTCAAAAATAGATCTTTAAGAGAGGACACATTTCTACAAGGACGCGTATGGACGTAGAAACCGTATTCATTAATGAAAGACCACAACTCATATGATAGAGAGGTCAAGCAGCTTAAAAAACCCGACGATTGAATTTATTTCTGCCTGTAAAAGGTTTCAATTTATTAAAGCCATTTGTGAACATTTCAAATCAGACAACCCGTATAACATGTTACCAAACAACTTTTTAAAATTTGATTTTTATTTTCTCGGAAACTGAGATGATCAATTTTTAAATTTTAGATTTTTCTTGCACCACCACGCTACGCTTTCTGAGATTTAAGCCACAACTTTTAAGGTCGTGGTCCAGCTTCACTTTGGAACGGTCTTAAGTCTCGACTCTTCACATCTATTCCAATCTCAGGTGGATGGCTCTCGAATTGGACATTTTCTCGTGATGCTTGACTCTTGAATTGGACGGTTTTAGGAAAGTCCAAATTGATTAGGGGCGGCAATGGACCCAACTAGACCCGGGATCCTAATCTATACCCGACCTGTTGCCAGTCCTATAATTGATCCTTTAGATTGAGTTGAGGTAATCGGGCATACATGCAATCGGCCATAGGCTGGGTCATTAAATCGTCCGACTTTTCTCAGTAACCTTAAATAGGAATTAGGGATGAAGAGTATGTTTTTAAATTATGCTCATAAAAGCGAAGGATAAGTTGTAGATGAAATTATAAGCACGCCTATTTCAACCTATCTCACTTCAATTTTTTGTTTAGTTATTGGAAAGATGTTATGATGTAACTTGTCCCTCCAATTCTAAAGAATCATACTTTCTCCCCTCTATAATTCAACAGATTGTGGTTCACTTGGTATATTGTAGGTTTCCTGACAAAGAAGCTGGACAAATTCCTGTCGCCTTTGTGGTCAAAAAGGTTGAGTCTCACTTATCAAATGCCACCCTTCTTAGTTTTGTGGCGGATCGGGTAAATACGAGTGCAAGACAAAAAAAAAAAAGATGAGACTATTTATATTTGGTACAAAGAGGTCATAATTAGTCAAATCAGTTTTAGCCATTAGATGTGAAATCCAATGCATGAAAGTACGTCACAACATTCGAGAAATTTTATTTTGCCCTTTGTGTCCAAATAATTATACATCCTCAATCACCATATTTTAAATCTAACAATAAATGATGATTGTGACTTCATTGGATCAACAGTAAATAGTCTCGTTGTATGCATTTCCAAAAAAAAAGTAGTACTATTACATTAAATTCAATTGAGGGGGCCTATGTTTCATTTGTGTTTCTATGGATATGTGATGGCAGGTGGCGCCATACAAGAAGATCCGAAGAGTCATGTTCGTGAGAAGCATCCCTAAGACATCTTCGGGGAAGATACTTAGGAAGGATCTCATCAACCTCGCCATTGCCTTATCTTCCAATTCCAAGCTCTAAACCATACAAATTATCGTTGTCTTCCAGTCACAAGCTCTAAATTGGATGAGGTTTGTATAAAGTGTACACTTCATATTTTACAAGTAAACTGCAACTCTAAATATTACCAGAATATGTAGTTCTGATATCAGAAATCTTGTGATGTTGAAAATCCATATTCAACTCGAATTATGAAATTTAAAGTTAAAAAAAGTGGATCTTGAGGTCGAGACAATTGATTAGAAGGCTTTCAAACTTCAGAATACTCTTTTCTAGTGGAGTTTTCTGACGAATCTTACTTCTATATAATACGATGGCAACCGTATATAAATTTTTCCTCCAAATTAATCTTTCTTGCTCGATTAGGTTGTCATTTTGACTGTTACACGTAATGGCGGGGTCCTCAACAGCATAAATACAACATTACACAAAGTGACATCCACTACCATAGTTGATGCTTCGTCCTTTTCCAATGTGGAAGAAGGTTCCTGATGTTTGATTCCTATTACCACTGTTAGAAAGCGACCAATTTATCTTTAATATATGCCTTATTGATGTAGTTAACTTCACCTCTCTTCTTTCGGAAAATGGCAAATGTTGATCATTCTCCAAAGTTCTCCAGTATTTTTCATAAACCTCCAAAAATCTCATGGTTTTTCTGCAATACAAGTTCCATGGTACATGTATAGATGCATAAAAATCAATGAAAATTTTGGCTTCAACACATGGTATTGACAAAACTTGGCCACTGTTCAAGTCCGCCTTCAAAAATCCATGTTAGGGATGGACTTTAGATCTGAAATCTGCAATATGATTTCTATTGCTATCAACCAAACTACGAACATTATATCTTCAAGCTTAAGATAAGTTAGTATCGATGATAACGTAGATTTAATATTTGGAACATTGGTAGATGCTAGTATTTCCTTCAAGAAGAATTAACTTGATGAGATTTCACCCCAATTAGTTTCAATCAATGTAAAACTTGCTTTAGTTTCTCACAGCTCATCCAAGCCAAGTGCTGCATAGGTTTGTCAATCATGAGTCGATACCCCATATCCTTTTAAGTATAATCAAAGGCAGGCAGGATACTGGGCCAGTCCTTGTCCTAGCCCGGCCCTATTTCGTAAGAACCAGGTAAAATTAAAGAAAACAAAGCAAAAAAGTTAAAGAAATGAGTGAAGGACCGGGCTAGGCCTCTCTTGCCATGACCCAGGCCCGGCCCTCGGGCAACGTTTTATTGCTCAAGCCCTAGTTTTTTAGTGTCGGGCCGACCAAATCAGCCTGGGCACCAGGCCCATTGCCACCCCTACGTATAATCTCAGTGATTGTAGTATCTATGTGCGACGAACACATTCACAGTCACTGCCAACCAGGTGCATTGTGTCACTCATAGATAAACATATGTCTTTAATGGTACTAACAAGTGCTGGAAAATGCACATATTTAACACATTCTTCAATAGTAAAACCATTGGAAATTGGTTGTCAATCGTCTCACGTCTTAGATTCAGATGATTTGTCATAGGCATCTCGCATAATAGAAATGCGAAACCTCATATCAGATTTGGCACCCCTGCCATCCAATAGTTCAAAATGTAAAGTGTACACCTACGATTTGTAAAACTTCTCTTGGTTTCCAAAGACATTCAATTTGCATGCATATCCTATAAGTTGGAATTAATCTCAATGCTCTCATGACCACTAGGATTTCACAAAAGATCACATATTGAAAATTTATATTCAAATTTGCAATACGAATAAGCATGGTAGTTTTACTTTCTAATTTAGTTTGCTATTCCATTAAATATTCAAGTCCCTATTAAATTTAGCAATTCACAAAAGATCACTAAATAAATAAGAGTTCATATGTCCTTTATGGGTCAATAAAATCGCATACACTACCTTGTTTATATTCCTAGAAATGAAGCATCTTTCCTATTGGAAACGTATACCATATGATATTGTTTCACAACATTATATAGGACTTTGTCCTACCTTCAAATATAACATAGGTTTGGATCTAGCATGCAATATGCAAGATAGGCATATACGTATATATGGTGGCAAAATAAACAATCTCAATTTGCAAAGAATCCACAAATCAACAAATTCTTTTGTGGAATCATAACCAAGCCGAGCATCATGTATATGCTATTTTGATAGGCCACTACCCCCTTTCCATGTCTACATGCATCCAGGAGGCAAGGAACTACCTTTTCACGGACATCAAAAGCCATAATATTTCTCTTGACATCAATGTTATTAGAGTCCAACCAGCTACCAAACCGTTTGGTGTCTAGTCATGACTAGTTTAGCCACCAATCAAATCAATTGTGTATAAGCATTTAGGGTCTAGTTCAATCAAAATTGGCCTGGTCTAGTTCAATTAAAATTAGTCGGACTGCTTGTTGGACCAATTATACTAGATTTTTTAAAGACAAAATATAAATGTAGGAATAATAGCTTAAAGATATAAAATACATAGAAAAGTATATAATGAGACTATTTACCTTTGGTACAAGGTGGTCACAATTAATCTTGACTATTAGATGCGAAATTGGGTCGCTGCATTTACTTCATTGACCAAATTCAAAGTTCAAAAGAAATTTTCTCGAACTTTATGACACACCTAAGCCACCAAATTTCACATCGGATGATTATAAGTAATTGTGACCTCCCTATAAAAAAGATAAATAGTCTCATTGTACACAATCTCAAAATACATTATAAAAAAGTTGTCCAACATTATTTAACCTTTCGAACTTGTTAAATATGGCATTATAAAAAAAATGTCCAACATTATTTAACTTTTCGAACTTGTTAAATATGACTTGTCCAGTTGGTCAAAACCAGCCAAAATTTGTTTTTGAACCTTTTTTATCAAATCAAGTTTTTCCTTTAGACTACTCTAGTCAAGGTCAGTCTAACGGTTGGTTTGATTGGTCAAACCTACTCTTTATAACGATGCTCATATATGACCAAAAGAAATTTTTTCCAACCATTTCATAGGGGTCATATAGGAACCCCTCACTTTTACCAAACTAGGAATCCCTAACACGAGGATCCCCACCAAGGAGTGTACATGATTGCTAGAAGCAAAATATAAGATTTCAATAAATAGAAAAGGCACATTATAAGAGTACACATTTTATGTGGTTCACCCTGTAAGGTTATGGTTTCGGCAAGTAAAAATACCATTATCTCAATAAAGATTATAGTTTTGAGGTACAAGAGATATACCTCTCTCTAAAATATTGTTAAAATTTAATTGATCTTCCCTTCCAAATCCACTCTCCCAACTGAACAATACTATCGATCAACTTCATCTTTCCTACCGCTACACTGCTACTGGAAATAAATCTTGAGAGCAACAAAAATACTTTCTCTCTTTAGAAGTGGAAATTTAATAACTAAAACCCTATGGGAAAATTGCCTCTCTCTATGAGGTCATGTCTCTCTCTTGGGGACCTATTTCTTTCTTGGATATCCCATTCCATAAACCCAAAATGGGTGATTCTTAAAAGGATGTGTATTATGATTTCTTTAACCCCCTTATATAAAGATTAATATGTTTCTTTCTTGCTTTCCAAAAAAATTATCATAATACCCTCAATCTTTTAATGAAAATATAGGTGTGATGATTTTGACTATCAGTAAACCCAATAATATGCTCATATCATAATATGTATATCTCATAGCACTTAAACCAACATGAATCATTTACATCAGCCATGGTTTAAAAAACCAGATTGGTGGACTGGATCATCTAAAAACTTGGGTCGGATCGGCAATCTGGATCGAAAAATCAGTTGGATCCAGCCTTAAAAATTTTCAAGAAGTCACTAAAAATTCTAAAAATATTATTTTTAAAGTTTCAAAAAAATTGGGGGTAGTGTATTATATATTTTTAGTATTTTGTAAACACATGTGCAAATGGAGATGTTTCTTTCTGAGTGTCTATTGATATCAAATTTTATTCTATTTTTTATACTAATTTTGATACAATACTTTTATAAAATGTTTTATACTAATTTTGTGACATTTAGTAAAGAAACAAGGGAGAAAATAATTTTTGTGATTTTTTATGCCGTTGTTATGATGCTAATTGTCATTTTTGTGTGTGATATTCTCTCGCACACATTGGATCTCTCTCACATATACACATACAAAAAGCACATTGGACATTCTCTCACAATCACATGTACATATATATGTGTACAAAAACACAAACATATTGGACCTCTCTCACACAATATACAAAGACAATGTGCATCCCTCTCTCTCTCAAAAACACACACATGCACACAACCACATTGGACATCTCTTTCTGTGACAAACATATTGGACTACTCTTTATCTGTCATAGCTTCCAATTTGTTGAGATTTCATTTATTTTTTATTTAAATAAAAAATATTTGGAAACAATAATATATTTCCCAACGTATTCTATTTTAGTTTTTATAAAAGTTTCTTAATCTCATGCTGCATATATAGAAGGTGCAATTCTGTTAAATATCATGTAGCAGTGTGCCAGCGCTATAAAAGAATTTGAAAATTAGGAAAATAATAACCACTAAATAAAAAAGGCTCATTAATGAACCGGGTGACCTGACCTTTCTTTGGCAGATTCAGCTGGCTTTGTCACAGAAGAGTCAGCCAATCCAGAGGGTGAACCGGTGGTTTCCTAATATTTCATGGGATCCAAATCAACCGGGCCTATTCTCAATTTGAATCAGCAAATTCTGATTTGGGTCATCAATTTTTAAAGTACTAACATCGACAAAATTCATTAATTTATTTGGAGATCATTGCAAAACCCTTCTGCAGTCACATATGCTAGATGTAACCATTTCTAGTTATGTTCGTTCTCATATTCATATTAAACTCCACATACAAGGACAAATTAATTTCTATAGTGCTTCATTCAATGCAAATTAAATATGACAAAATATCATCATATTGATATCTAAGTACATACATAAGGCTTTAGCTCGAATTGATCATTTTTTTGCATCCAGAGTTACTCTTTTGTAGGAGTGCCAAAGGATCAGACCGTGCGTTGGGCATTAGCTCCGACCTGAGTTTTAAAACGTTTACTGACCTAATTCAGGCCAACATTCGGGTTTTAGGCCGGGTAATAAAATAAGAAGCTATTTTCGGGCCTGGTCGGGCTATAAAACAAGTGGCCCAAATCAAACCCCAAAGTCCAAAACGTATTTCAACTCTAC